AGGGCTGACCGCCCGTTGGTGCTGCAAACGTGAAATGAGGATCTCTGCCCTCCCTCACGCTGCAGCCAGTGGGTATTTTGACCACTGGTCTGTGGCCAGGCTCGTTCAGGACAAGCCATGGTCCTGCATGTGTCAGAGCCCCATGGCCACAGGGCTGCTCCCCACCGCAGCCAGATATCCCGCTGGGAAAGGGGAGAAACCTCCTGCCGAGGTGCAGCAGCACCGTTCCTGCCTTGAGATGGTGAAGCGAGCAGCACAGAACAGTTTTGAGGATGTGCTTTTAATAAACATATCCTTCAGGAACTGCTTACCGAAGCTTTACAGCCAAATTTCCCCCCACATTTTTGATGACCCTACTGTTTTAAAGTACAGACAGACTTAAGCTGTAAAAATACCCCTTAGAGAGTTTTTTTAAGTGACAAAGAGGAGCTGTGAGTATGTCCCAGGGGCAAAAGGTGTTTTTTAGGGACAGCTGTGAGGGCATTGAGAAGAGGTGCAGCATCAGCCAGTTATTAAATGACCCTTTAGACTCTGGCAATAAGTAACAATTAACAAAAACTACTCTCAAGCAAGTCTCCTCTCCGGGAAAGGTGGAAACTTGAGGCCGAGAGCCAAAAATGCCAGTTCACGTGTCCTGAGGGAGCTCTCCCAGCTCTGCCCCGCAGCAGTACCGCACAGTGCAGCCCCTGTCTCGGCACAGCGTGCCTTTCCACAAGTTTATTTTTTCTGGGATTAATTTGCTACCTGCCTCCCAAAGGTTGCTTTACAGAATCGTAATGCTGTGTAATATATACCTAGAGAAAAAAAAAAATACTGGATCAGGTTCTCCACCGGCGTGAATGAGTCAGTGATGACGCATCAATGGGTCACAGGGGTGGAAAATGCCCCATTTAGCTAAATATATGAAATATATATATATATATATGCCCCAAAGGATAAGCTGGAAATCACAGTGGTATATTCATGGGGAGCCAAGGGAAAAAAAGTGAATGCGTATAAAAAGGCAGCCGCAAAGCCGAGAGGTTTAACGTGAAAGCTGTGTTTACATAAAGACTGCGCCTTACAGAGCTCCTTTGCTGCAACTCAGCTGCCAGTGCTGCCCGTTCCCGCGGACGTGGGAAGAGGTGCCAGTCCCCAGCAAACGGCCGTGGCCGTGGGCTCTCACCGGAGGGGCTGAAGGGTCCGAATGCAGCCGCCCTGGGGGGGCAAATCCCTCCTCCTCCTCCTCCTCTGCATGCAGCAACTCTTAAAAAGCTGCAGGCGGTGGGAAAAGGGGAGGCAGGGTTTCCAGAGCAAAATCTTCAGATGAAATCTTGGCCTTTCCCGGCCAGTGGGAATGCTGCCCGGACTTCTGTCCGGATGGGAATTCACTCCCTGTGTCCTGAGCTCCTGCCTCAAAACCACAATGTTTGGCTGAGTCGCTCTGCTGCAGAACGCAGCCTTTGCACGAGATGTCAGCGGTAACACAGCGCAGGCATCGCTGCTGTTTGCTGAACACCGGGGAGGACTCGCTATCGGCAACGTCTGACCAGATAAGAAAGGTAGAGACAACAGAAAGAGAGAAAGGTAGAGCAACAGCCCGTGCGTGGCCACATCCGGAGAGGAAGAGGAGGTAACCTCGGTCTCTGCTGCACCCCCGCAGGAAGAGATCTTGCATTGTAGGCTCCTATCTCGGCTCTGGGCCCTAAATCTCATTTATTCAGGCAAAACTCCCACTGAGGAATTTTGCCAGAGTAGATACAGCAGATCTGGGCCTTTGACCTGTTTCATTTTGCAGTAGGCGGATTGATTGCTCCATGGGGAAACCCATGCTGGAGCCACGCATCCCTCCCTTCTCCGCGTTGCCCAATGCCCAGCCGCAAGGCTCTGAACGCCTTCAGGGTTTGGGGTGGTTTGGAGGGATCCTGTGCCTTTCCCTTTCCATCCTGTAACCCGATGGGAGTTGCTCCTGTTTGTGCCGCTGCTTTGTTTAATTCACCTCTGCTCCGAGAGCTGGGATGCTGGGATGCAGCTTTACAGAGGGTTTTGAGGGCTCCTGTAGAAGCGAAGCAGTTGGAAGTGCTACCCAACCCTCTGCTTGCTTTTATCCTGGCTGGAAGCTCTATAAATCCTCCTGGTTTAGGGCATAAAGCAAATTCTGACCTATGTAAGTCTGGAATTTGCTCTGTGTTGCCAGTGATTTTGGGTGTAAACTGGAATGATGAGGAAACGTGCACTCTGCCAGCTCTGAATCGCTGGTTTTGCTGCACACGAAGGGCTGAATGTGGTGTGTGGTGAGTTTAGATGGATGGATTGCACTTGGCAATTTTAGCAGCCTTTCCATGTTCCCTTGAGTTATTTCTGCTGTCACAGAGTGTTCCTCTTTTTAATTAGGATTTTTAAAATATAGTTACTGTAGAGTATTTTACAGTGTCTGAAAAAAACTGTAACAGAATAATATAATGATGTTAGAGACTAAGATTTGCCATTAAATACTATACAGACATCACTCTGGGTTGTCTTTCCTTGAAATGCCAAACCACTATAGTTATCCTGTTATCTTGTGTTTATTTTTCCGTGTCCTGTACATCTGGTGTAAAATAATACAGATTTTATTTTCCAAGTGTGTCCAAGGGAATTGTGCCAAATACACATTTTTATTGCTCAACTGCAAAAGGAGCGGAAGGGTCCTAAAATCCAATAACAATATTGTCAGTCCTGGGCAATTCAAAACAATGGATTGTCTCAGTTCTCTCTTCTACCTCGGTCCTCAACTTAGAAATAACAAAGATGAACAGATTAGGTGCTTTTTCCTTAGTGTTTTCAGCTTTTGGAGTATAAATTTCCAAGGTTTTCTGTGTGATCAGGAGGTCCAGACCTTCCCACGCATTCTGGCACTTGCACCGGTATCTTTCTAAAATGTAGTCTGAGTTTCTTAATGCCAAATATCAGCTGGAGCGAGGGGAAAAACATTACTGGGCGAGTCGGAGTTCGTGCGAGGTGGCGATGCTTCAGCTGGGCGCTTCAGTGGAAGCCGCGTGGATGTTTGCTACTGACTTTAATAGGAGAGGAATCGGGACTTGGTTGTTATAACCATTTCTTAAAAGGGAAACTTACAGCTTATTGAAAAAAGCGGATATGAAAAGCACAAACTTGCTCTTTTCTTGCCAAGAACCCTACAGATTATGTCACTGCGTTTATTTAAGTCTGGTTTCCATTATGGAGTTTTTCTGCTTCCCCCCTGCCCCTCCCGGCTGGTTCTCAGAGACTCAAACAGGGCTGGGCTGCAAACCCTGCAGGACAAAGCTCAAAGCCATATAAAAAGATATAATTTAGGGTAAAAAAGGATATCATTTAGGTGATAGATGCTCTTAACATATTTTTATATATTACTGATATACAGTTGTTAGTTATTGATACGAGGAGCCCTTTAAAACAGTTCACTGGTTTTGCAGGGGTTTCTTACGTGCACTAATGAATGAACTTCTCCTGCCACCTCTGTGCCCCTGATGCGTTTGCAGCCCCTGGGTGGCTGTGGACAGGCACAGGGACAAGGGGTTGCGCTGTGGGGCTTTGGACACGACCCCGTTCCCCATGGGCTCCACTGGGGCTGGGGCAGCCCCGGGGGT